GCGCCCGCCACAACGCCCGGCTATTTTTTGGTTGCAGCCATCATTGTTTGGCGGGTCCGGGCTGGATTTGAACCCGCCACCTTAGGTGTACGTGGCTGGCGCCTTAGCCGGTTGAGCCTTCTCCACATTCTTGCCAACATTTGCCATTTATTTATTTTTTTAATACTACATACTAGCTATCCTAATGAGTATGAGGTATTATCTTTTTGTGGTTTTGGTTTGCATTTTTCCCATCATTTGTGAGGTGGACCATCTTTTCATATGTGTATTGGACATTTGTATATTGTCTTAGTCCATTTGTACAGCGCTAACAGAATGTCTGAGACTCAGTAATTTATAAAGAACAGACATTTATTTATTTCTCACAGTTCTGGAGGCTGGAAAATCCAAAATAGGTGCTAAAATCTGGTGTCTGATGAGGACCTTTTTGCTGTATCTTCTGCAGGAGAGACATACTGTGGCCTCACATGGTGGATGATTGGAACAGTGCGAACTCATTCCTGAAATTCCTTTTTATACCGGCACTAATTCATCCTAGAGGCAGAGTTCTCCTGACCTAAACAACTCTCAAAAGGGCCCACCTCTCAACAGTTGCCTTGGAAATTATTTCCAAAAATGAAATAGGGAGGACACATTCAGATCATAGCACATTTTATCTTTGGAGGAATGTCTGTTAGAATATGTTCCCCATTTTAAAATTAGGTTGATTTTTTGTTATTCTTGATATTAATCCATTATCAGCTATGATTTATAAATATTTTCTTCTATTCCATATGTTTTCTTTTCATTTGTTTGTTGTATCTGTTGATGAACAAAAGTTTTTTAAGTCTGATTAGTCCTATTTGTTTTATTTTTCTTCTGTGACCTATGCTTTTAATGTCATAGCCAAGAAATTATTGCCAGGTCCTGAATCTTTTCCTAGTTGTTTTTTCCTAAACACTTTATTGCTTGGGATCTTACATTTAGATCTTTACTCTATTTGAGTTAACTTTTATATATGGTGTAAGTTAAGGATCCAACTTCCATTTTTGGGATATGGATGTTCAATTTTCTCACCACCATTTGCTGAAAAAACTGTCCTTTCCCCATTGGGCATTCTTGACACCCTTAAGAAAAATCATTTGACCATAAATATACAAGAGTATATTTCTGGCTGTCTATTCTATCTCATTGGTCTACTTGTCTGTCTTGATGCCAGTACCATATTGTTTTGATTACTACAGCTTTGTAATATGTTTTGAAACCAGGGAATGTGAGTCCTCCAATTTTGTTCTTCTTTCTCTTAATTGTTTTTGTCATTTTTAGTCCTTTGAAATTCCATATGAATTTTAAGATGCATTTTTTTATTGCTTCAAAACATGTTGGGATTTTGATAGGAATTGTGTTGACTCTATAGATCCTTTTGGGTAGTACAGACACCTTAACAATATTAATTCTTCCAATCTATGAACACAGTATGCCTTTCTACTTATTATGTCTTTAATTTCTTTTAGCAATGTTTTGTGGTTTTCAGTGTGGAAATCTTTACCTTCTTGGCTAAGTATTTATTCTTTTAACACTATTATAAATGTAATTATCTTCTTAATTAATTTTCAGATTGGTTATTGTTAGTTAGAAACTCAATTGATTTTCATATGTTGATTGCATATCCTGCAACTTTGTTCAGGTCATTAATTCTGACAGTTTGTTTTTTTGTGTGTGAAATATTTAGGGTTTTCTACCTATAAGATCATGTCATCTGCAAACAGATAATTTTATTTCTTTCTGTCCAATTTAGATGCCTTTTACTATTTTTTCCTTGCATAATTCCCCTAGCTAGAACTCCCCATAGTATGATGAGTGGAAGTAGTGAGAGTGTGTATCCTTGCCATGTTTCAGATCTTATAGGAAAAGCTTTCAGTCTTTCATCTTTGAGTGTTATTAGCTGTGGGCTTTCTAATAAATGGCCTTTATTATGTTAGGGTAGTTTTCCTTTTATTCCTTGTACATTACATGTTTTTGAAAGGCTGCTGAATTTTGTCTAATGCTTTTTCTGTATCAATTTGGATTATCACGTGGGTGTTTTCTCTCTTCATTCTGTTAATATTGTACATTATAT